CCACCTTTCTGTTGTTTTTCCTGCTAGGTTTTTTTTTTTTAATTTTTTTGGGTAGGGTGTTAATTATCTGAATGTTCCTTTTATATATATATATCACTTCCTTCTTATTCATGGGTGAATTGTTTTTTTTAATTGAATTATTAAATTAAATTAAATTAAATTTTAGACAGTGAGAGCATGAGCAGGGGAGAGGGGCAGAAGGAGAGAGAGAGTCTTGAACAGGGTCCACTCAGTCAGTACTGAGCCCAACACAGTGCTCAATCCCACGACCCTGGGATCACATCCTGAGCCGAAACAAAGAGTCAGATGCTTAACCGACTGAGCCACCCAAGCGCCCCAAATTGTTGTTGTTGTTTTTAATCTGAAGATATTGATAGTCTTAAAGAAAAGTTTCTTTCTCCCTGCCCTGTTTTTGCTTTCCCCAGATTTATTTATTTTGATTATTTTGATAACTGGCTTCCATTCTGGAATATCCTTGAATCCTCCTGGGCGAGACAGGTTGCCCAGGGAAGAGCCCCCTCTGCTGGCCCCTCCCCACAAACTGCCTGCAGGAGCCTTGAAAGAGGGGTTAGGGAGGTTCAAGATTCAGCCTAGGCTACTAGATCCCTTTGTTTTTGTTTTGTTTTCCAGGCGCTGTGCCTTGACTCCCTGCCAACCTCCCCAACCCCCCTCCCCGACCAAATACTCTCAGTTTATGCTTTCTGGAGGGGAACCTCCAGACTTTTGTAGGGGAGGAAGAGGGCAGCCACCTTGCCCAGTGCAAGATGGGAGGCGATATAGATGGCCTGCTGCTGCTTCTCAGCTTTTGCACCATTACCCCTGCCCCAACTCTCCCTCCACGCCCAGTCTGTAGGTGCCTACTGCTGTCAGTTCTCAGCTTTTTGGTGATCCTCTGGAGTTGATCTGGTGTCCATCAGCTTTTCCCACTGCTAGTCTAGAAGACTAAACCAGTTACAAGCAGTCTGTCTCCTCATTGCAACTTCCAACATCTCTCTTCCACGCTGTCTGTTCTAGGATTATGTCCTTTTTTTTTTTTTTTTAATCCCTTTTCTGAAGTTCTAGTGAGGTTTTGGGTAGAAATTAAATTAGATACTTGTCATTAATCCATCATGTCACTTTGGAAATGGATACTATATGTTCATTTGCTAATTAAGCGTCTCCCCTACTAGGATGTATGTTTCCTGCTGATAGGAATCTGTTTTACTCATTTCACACTTCCAACACCTAGACAGTGACTGAACAGGATAACTGATTGACCTTGAATGAAGGATCTCAGTAGGAGATATGATTGTGTTAACTTTAAACATAAAACTGCCAAGGGGCACCGGCTGGCTCAGTTGATGGAGCATGTGACTCTTGAGCTCAGGGTTGTGAGTTTGAGTCCCGTGGTGGGTGTAGAGATCATTTAAAAACAAAATCTTAAAAATTTTTAAACATTTATTCATTTTTGAAAGAGACAGAGACAGAGTATGAGCAGGGGAGGGGCACAGAGGGAGGGAGACACAGAATCTGAAGCAGGATCCAGGTTCTGAGCTGTTAGCACAGAGCCTGACGCAGGGCTCAAACTCACGAACCGCAAGATCATGACCTGAGCTGAAGTTGGATGTCCAACTGACTGAGACACCCAGGTGCCCCTAAAAACAATATCTTTAAAACACACACACACACACACACACACACACACACTAAAACTGCCATTTTACCAGTAAAAATGTTTTCTTTTGGGAATAGCAGAGAATTGCAATTGAGGACAAACAGGCTACAGCAAAACCACAGGACAGTCCAATAAACAAAAGAGAGGAACATTATTTTATGGGGAAGGAGGAAGTTGGGAGGGGTTGTTTTTGGGGTTTTTTTGTTTTGTTTTGTTTTTTCGAGACAGAGAGAGAGACAGAGCATGCGAGCGCCTGTGCATGGAGGCGAGCAAAGAGAAGGGGACAGAGGATCCGAAGCAGGCTCTGGGCTGACAACCCAGTGAGCCTGATGCAGGGCTCAAACTCATGAACCGTAAGATCATGACCTGAGCCAAAGTCAGAGGGTCCACCGACAGAGCCATCCAGGTGCCACTAGTTTTATTAATTTTTTTGGCCCATTTGTTGCCATGGAGACCATTACTGATAGACACTCAAGACCAAGCATGGAGAAGTTTTAAATTAAGTTTTATTTATTTATTTAAAGTTTATTTATTTATTTTGAGAGAGAGAGAGAGAGAATAAGCAGGGGGCAGAGAGAGAGAGGGAGACAGAGGATCTGAAGCAGGCTCTGAGCCAACAGACAGAAGAGAGCCTGATGTGGGGCTTCAACTCATGAATTGTGAGATCATGACCCGAGCCGAAGTCAGACGCTCAACTGACTGAGCCACCTGGGCGCCCCTTAAACTTTTAAACAAATTCAGTTTTAACTTAGTTTTGAATCCAAGTTTATTTTCATATGTGAGTTGTATGTTGATTTTGTTATTGTATAGACACGGTCAAACCTTTTGGACAGTGGACTTTCACTTTACCAACCTAGAGAAATAATGATATGAATGTGGGTTGTGTGGCTTGTTGGCTCAAAAACACATGTCGGATCAGAATAAAGTCCATCCTCAAGGCAGCCTTTGATGACCTTTCTGGATTCTAGACCCAGAGTATCTCAAGGGCGTGGCGCCCTTGGAATCACAAGTGAGGATGGCTTCTAACTCTCAGGCCTTTGTTCTCTCTATGGAAACTCTTCTTATATCATCAAGACACATCAGAAATCCTACCCAGTGCCTCCTTTCCACTCTCATCTTTTTGGTGAAAGCCCTTTTTATTAGTGTGAATACGGTTTTTGCTCCCTGATGTCAGCACTGTGTTTGTACCCCACTCAACAGCAGAAGAGTGGGCCTGGTATCCTGGCAACTATGTCTCTATTTGCTTCATTTACTATCAGTCCATTAGGCAACTGCAGCCGTCCACTATTTATTCAATTGAAGTAAATTATTGACCTGAGGCCCCACCCTTTTATTTGCCCCTGTAATTAGACTGTGTAGTTTAGGTTGGTCATAGATTCCCTGGATATTTTTATCAGCAAAGGGGACACTGTTGCTCTAACACCCTTAAAATTTCAACTCCTCTTCAAGGGAGAGCTTTATGAACAGAGCGAAAAGGAGATGTCCTTTGTCCCAGGAACATGTTTATTTTGAAATAACTGCAAGAGAAAGATGCTTAAAAAAAAAAACCCATGTAGAGAATGTCTGATTTCAGAACACTGTTACAGTAGTGAGCAACAGAGTGAGTTCCAGAAAAAGGACCTACAGGGTAAAAGTATCTTTGGAAATCAACTCCCCTGGAGGGTCTGTTTTCAAACTGAGCTGATGGGAGGTGAGCCGGTTACTACTTTGCAGGAAGGCAATGCAACAACAGGTCTCACAGTTTTAAAAACTCCATTTTGGGGCGAGTGGTCTAAAGAAATCAAGCTGTGAAGATTCTGGCACAAACATGCCCAGTTCAGCATTATTTCTTAAATAGGGACAATTCCACTGTCCAGTAATACATGAATGGGTTAAGGGCCATGTGCATAATGGGAGTGAATGGCAAAGGGGCATTAAAAATGTACCAACGGTTCAGTGTTTCTACATTCTATATTCTGTTCAAAACCTGTCGTTACAGGTGCGCCTGGCTCACTCAGCTGAGGAAGCATGCAACTCTTGATCTCGGGATTGTGAGTTTGAGCTCCACCTTGGGTGTAGATTACATACATAAATACTGAGGAGCCTGAAACCAAGTCCTCCATTAGAAACAACCTCAGGCTGCACGGAGTCCCAGTTCCAGGAAAAGCCTCAGCTGAAGCCACCCTCAGACTGCCCTCGGATCTGCCAATCAAAAGAAATGTGTAACATTCATGTAGTCTTGGAGACGAGTCAGGGCTGGGAACTGCAAGTAGTTACTTTGTACAAACTTGCCAATCAATCACCGCTTGCAGAAGCCCCACGTAGATTCTCTGAGCCCACCTCATAATTGGTCATTTTAAAAGACTCTCAAAAGTCATGATTGGGTCTAGCCAAATGTAACGGATGCCTCGCAAATACTGAATGGTCAAAACTGTTAACTATGCTGTTACTATGGGCATTGTACAATTATGATTGGTGCTTATGTAACGATGCAAAACGTACAACGTGTGCACGGTAACACCCCCGCCCTTCCCCCATAAAAACCCTGCTTGCCACTGTTCGGGGCTTCACTTTGCTGCTGCTGTACCGGTAGACAGGTGAGCCCCTGCTCGAGCTTGTAATAAAGACGCTTTTGTTCTTGCATCGGTGCCGGCTCCTTGGAGGTCTCTGGGGACTCGCGATTCAGGCATAACACATACATACATACATACATAAAACATGCTGTTGCATACACAACGAAATAATCAAGAGTGGCTCCTGGCTGGTTCAGTTAGAGCACACTACTCTTGATCGCAGGGTCATGAGTTCAAGCCCTACAGTGGACATGGAGTCTACGAAAAGGAAGGAAGGAAGAACTGAGAGGAAATATTCCAAAATATCGGCACCTTAACGGTGAGCCTACACAACATTATCTCCAGAACTCCGTATGAAACACAGGACATAGTAAACGCTCAGCACGCTGAAAAGAGAAAATGAATACTCGAGGGAACAAATTTCAACATATTTTTGGCATAATGAACAGCAGTTATCTGGTACAATGTGTGGTATTTCCTTCTTTAGAGTTTTCAGATTCTGAATTTTCTGGAAGAACCTCCTCCTCTTCTAAATTAAGGTTATCACACAAGGCTAGACTTAGGCCTGTCATCAGGGGCCACGAAGATGGCGGCTGGCCTGCCCCGCCCCAGCCCCCGCCCCCCGGAGCCGAGCGCTCCCGAGTTGAGCCGAGCGTTCCCGAGAGTCTCCCGAGCATCCCCGAAGCCGGCAGGAAGCTCGGGAGGCGCGCGGGCAGGAGCGACCCCGCCCCGGAGCCTGGGAGCAGCGCGCCAGCGAGGGGGGGGGAGGGGAGACCGGATGTGAGTGGAGCGGCCATTTCCTGTTTCTCCGCAGTTTTCCCCAGCTTTGGGTGGTGGCCGCTGCTGGTCTCCGGCTTCCCGTTGGCGGAGGGCGAGGCGGCGTGGACAGCGGCCCCGGCACTCTGCGCCCCGCTGCCCGCAGCTGCGCGCCCGTTCGCCCGCCGCGCCCCGAGCCCGCCGCTTCTTGCCTCAGCGCCCGGCGGCCGCCGCGGCCCAGCGAGCGGCCCAAATGCAGGCCATCAAGTGTGTGGTGGTGGGAGACGGGTGAGTGCGCGGGCCGGGGGGCCGGGGACCGAGGGCCGGGGGCCGGGGCCGAGCGGGCTCGCGCGCGGTAGGAGCCCTCCTCTCTGCCGAGCGGGGCGTGGGGCGCGGGCAACCCTTCACTACCCCCGGGGACCAGGCTGCACGGGCCTGGTTCTGGCTCACCCCCACCCCTTATTTATTTATTTATTTTTTTGGTTGGGGGGGAAGGAGTCGCCGACCCGCGGTCGGAGGGAAAAGGGAACTCCACCCTCCCGCCTTCTGTTGGGCCCGCTGATCGCCGGGCGGGACCCCGCAGCCGCGCCGCCACCCTCCCTGGTCCGCCTGGACACCGGCGGGCTTGAGGTTGCCTTCCTGAAAAAAAACCCGACCCTTTCTGGGCTTTTACATCAGCCTCTCGAGCCCAGTTGAGAGCTTCCGTGTGTCCCGGCGGCCAGGTCCACAATACTGGACGAATATTTGCCTGGGCGGCTTTGGTGGCGCTAAACTGATTTACCACGGGTTATCTTCCGCTTACACTTGGGCCAGTTTTAAGATTTTTTTTTTTTAGGTGATTATTTTTGCTCTTTCCGTGAAGAAACTTTAGATATTCTAGTTGCGAGGAGTCGGGTGTGATTAAGACTGTTCTTTTTTCTGAACGTGGTGTGGTCATAAAAAAAAAAATTGGCTTTCGCTTCTTGCATTAGGTATGGGATGTAGCAGAACAGGCTCCCGGAGCGGAGCTGCCCTGTGACTCAAGGCATTTCTTTTCATTACTGTCTGGTGGTTACAGGCCCTAGAGGAAGACAAGACTTGGCTTATGCAGTTTTTTTTCCCCTCCGATAGAAACAAGAATCTCAGTGTAATCCGAGCAAAATTGTGTGTCTCAGCAGGGCTCGAGTAGTTGATTGTGAACAAGGAAGCTCCAAGAATTACTATCAGTTTTCATCAAACTCAGAAGGCAGTTGGTGCATTTTTCAAGTTTTGTAAGGCCTAAGGAAGCGTTCCAGCATAGCTCTTCCTTTTGATGAATATTCCCCAAACTTGTCTTTAGGACTGATGTGGCTTTTATGCCTCTCCAGTTGTGAATTGGCTTTGTTTAGATTGTTGCAGTTTAGACGTTGAAATTGTTTCCTCGGCCAATACAGGGACAGTTGAACTGATTTTTGTTGGAGTCAACATGTGAAACTATTAACACTTCATGGTTCTATGTATATAGCTAACAATTACAACTCCCACCTATTTAGGAATAGGTATGATACCTTTTTTTTTTTTTAATCCTTCAAAAGAAAGTTTTACTTTCATTGGCAGGAGAGGGGGAATCTTCAGTTACTTAGTTTAATAGGGAAATCAGTACATTGTTTAAATGAAATTTACATTTGAACGTTTATCAAGTTGTCTTAAGAACAATTAACGTGAATTTTCTTTAATTTTAGTATATGTGCTGCCGAAGCGAGCACTTAACGTGAATTTCCTTTAAAAATTAAGAAGGTTGAATCAGTAAGCTTAGAATATGAAATAATACTAGTTTTTAAAAACGCCAAATTGCTGAGGATTCAATATCCAACCCTAGTAATAGCCTATGTAATATCCTTAATTGAAAATGTCTGGAACTAAAACATAAGTAGCAGATCTGTTTAATGCTTCAGATTATGGACCTCTGCCGTTTGTATTGGCTTGTTTATCTAGTTGCATACTTGTTGAATGCCTGCTGTGGGATCTGGATCCTTCCTTTAGGTCTCCACCCCACTATTTAGGGGGAAACCCTGGACATATCACTCATCCCTACAAGACAGATGAGATGCCTCAAGTTGAATTTGTGAGGATTAAACAAGATGCTGGATACCAAGTGCTTCCCAGGCGCCTGGCCCCTACCGAGTACATACAGTTTCTCTTACCCCAAAGCATTGTGGAGGTCTCTGAGGGGAGTGGTAGACATAAAACACAGTTTTCTTGGCATTAAGTTTTCAGTCAGGTTTTGTTTTTTTTTTTTTTGTATTGTATTTGACATTGATGTAGTTTGGGTGAGGGGGCCTAAGAGTCCTGTTAGAAGTGGAATAACAAATTTAAGCTATTTATTTATCTTTAAAATGCATTCATTTATTCAAATAATCTCTGCACCCAATGTGGAGCTTGAACTCACAACCCCAATATCAAAGAGTTGCATGCTCCACTAGCTGAGCCAGCCATGTGCTCCGTTACTTTTTTTTTTTTTAATGTTTTATATCTGAGAGAGAGAGCGAGCAGGGAAGGGTCAGAGAGAGGGGGAGACACAGAATCTGAAGCAGGCTCCAGGCTCTGAGCTAGCTGTCAGCACAGAGCCCGACGTGGTGCTCTAACCCACGAACTATGGGATCATGACCTGAGCCGAAGTCAGACGCTTAACCAGTTGAGCCACCCAGGCGCCCTCCCCCCACCGTTACTTTATTTTTTTATTTTTTTTAATGTTTTTTTTTTTTTTTTTTAATTTATTTCTAGGAGCGAGAGAGAGACAGCGTGAGCAGGGGAGGGTCAGAGAGAGAGGGAGTCACAGACTGAAACAGGCTCCAGGCTCTGAGCTGGCAGTCAGCACAGAGCCTGACACAGAGCTCGAACCCACGAACTGCGAGATCATGACCTAAGGGAAAGTCGGACACTTAACCAACTGAGCCACCCAGGCACCCCTCCCCTCTGTTACTTTAAATAAAGGACAGCATATAGCAAATGTTACTTCAGTGAAAAATTTGTAGCAAAAGTTATTACTTCAATGAAAAATTTAGACACATAATTTTCCATACCAAAAATATTTTTCTGTTTTTACCCAAACAAAACATCAGCCTGATGATATAGTTGAATGTTCTTTTATTCAAAAACTGTTAAAGCTGTAAATGTGGGTCTGAATTTTGTGGGGCAGAGAACTCCATGCTGGGGAATCTGAAGCAATTAAGGACAGTTTAAGCAGTAAAGATAAATTGAAGTTGCACAAATTGCAAAGCTTCCTTATTTTAAAAATATGCTTGGGAATTACAGTTAGAAGCTATTTCATAGTCATAACTAGGATCAATTAGCCTGTATTCTTATGGATTATTTTCTATATAGCAGTTCAGTTGACATTGAGTATAAAACATGAGATGAAATTTTGATACCTTTTTATGCTATTAACCTTCTGTTGGTCCTAATTTTGTTAGTCCTTCCTGAACACAGGGTCTGTCACTTTTATTTGGGGGACGTCTGCCCCCAAGATTCTCTTAGCTTTACTTAGGTAAGACAGCAATATTGCTAAAACCATTCAAAACAATTTTTTAATGTTTTTAATTTTATCTATTTTAAGAGAGAGAGATGACTGGGGAGGGGCAGAGAGAGAATCTCAAGCAGGCTCTGCATCAGCACAGAGACCAATGTGGGGCTTGAATCCATGAACCATGAGATCATGACCTGAGCTGAAATCAAGAGTTGGACACTTAACCGAGTCACCCAGGCGTCCATCCTCAAACCCTTTTTTAAAAATGTTTATTTTATTTATTTTGAGAGAGCATGAGTGAGCAAGGGAGAGGCAGAGAGAGAGGATCCTAGGCAGGCTCTACACCGACATGGGGCTCAAACTCATGAACTGAGAGATCACGACCTGAGCCGAAATCAAGATTTGGATGCTTAGCTGACTGAGATACCCCTAAACCATTAAAAAAAATTTTTTTTAAATGTTTTATTTCTGAGAGAGAGAGAGACAGCGTGAGCAGGGGAAGGTCAGAGAGAGGGAGACACAGAATCTGAAACAGGCTCCAGGCTCTGAGCTGGCAGTCCTCACAGAGCCCAGTGTGGGGCTTGAACCCACAAACTATGAGATCATGACCTGAGCCAAAGTCAGACGCCCAACCACTGAGCCACCCAGGCGCCCTAAACGATTTTTATTGGTGGTGTTTTGGCTTTGGTTGACCAGAAGGCTGGGAGTAAATGACTTCAAGCCCCTTTTAGTTCACTGCAGATTGGGCTAGTAGTCTCTCCAGCCCAGGGTCTAATTTAGACTTTGGTGTCCAGGAATGTTTTTTAGTTGAGCATAAAAAATCCCTTCCATGATGATGTCATCTTTTTAGGAACATACACCAGTTCCTCTCCACTCATTTCCATTGAATAATCAGTGATGGTATGATCCATTAATTTAAGTGCTTCATGAATTGTATGTGTGTTTTTGTCTTGAGCATGGGGTTCCAAATGTTTTCTTTTGACCTGTTGTAAAGGTGTTTGAATTCTACACTGGCTTCTAAGTTTAGATTTGTTATCTAACTCTGATCTTGGTGCTTTTTTTTTAAATTCTCAAATGATAATCCCAATAAAAGTTTGGGGTTGGGTTCAGTAGAGGAGTATCAGGAATCCGTTTTTAGAAAACTTAAAGCCACTTTTTATAATGTTCTTCCTTCTGCATTAATCACCACACGTATTAGTGCTTCCTACTTGTTCACGTCTGCATCACCAGGTAGTTTCTTGTAATTTTTAGTCTTATTAAAAAGGAGATGTTTTCTCAGGAATCCTGCTACCAAAGCAATTACCACATGTCACCAGAGGACTATTTTTCCTCCCACATCTGAATATGAAAAATTTCAGAGATACAGAAAAGTTGAAAGAATTGTGTAGTGAGCACCTGCCATGTAGGTTGTGTAATCAGTATTTTGCTATATATCCTTACCACATATCTTCCCATTATCAAGGTGTATTTTAAGAAGATTTGATTTGAAGGGGAATGAGGCTGATACGCAGTTAGATGAAAAGTCTTGTTTTTGAACTCTATCTTCCACAGATCCAGATAATAACTACCCTAGGATGAGTTTTGGTGGTTCTGTAGCTTAAAGTCTTCTTCAGACTTGAACTCTCTCAGACGTAGCATCTTTAGCCTTGAGGGTTCTAGAAGCTACACAGTTTTTGAATTTTTTAAAGCCTCCCTCCATTGGTGATAATGGCTGGTTTTCCATAAGTTGGTTGTGATGTCCCCTATTAGTGAATATCAAAATTTCACATTAGGTTTTATATTTTTGTAGCACTAAACTACACTA